ATTTTCTTTTAGTCCGAATTCCAAGGATACTTTCTTAGGAAGTGCCCGTGAAAAATTATGGTATATCCCATGCGCCATCGCACTCGACTTCCATTGAGAAGATCAGAAGAAGAAGAAGTAGTCAGATAATGAATGCATATGTGGCCTATAGAACGTATTGCAGTGGCCAGCCGGTGTCAAGTCAGTGCTTTCATCCTCCCAGACAGGTCTGATACCAAATAACAACCCCGGAGAGATGCGAGGCTTGGTTGGAGTAGAGGATGTCGATCCGGGATCCGAACCGGTGACCACTCTTGTGAGATTGTAAGCCTCTCGCCACTACACTACCTGTGCCATTGTAAAAATATACCAGTTAAAGGCACCGTTTACGTTTAATTTAGGGTACCCTTTTTTGACGGGAATTGATAGAACTACTCTAGAATAAAGCGATAACAACGAAAAAAGCGCAAAAAACGATGAACAAAAAGAAGTAGAAAGGGTCAAAAAAGAGCTGGAAAGGGGGTGGACGAGTTTCACATTGGAAGAACGCACACAGCTGATACTGCTAATCTACTCGACTTCAAATTCGGGCCCCAATGATAGGCGCCAGAGTCGTTCGAATTCCCACGCACTTCGCCGCGCAGTTTGTCGCGCGCATCCAGGACGCACGTAAGTTCCGTCCCCCCAATCTGACTGGCAGACTCTGGCAATTTGCCAACCAGCTTATCGATTTTTCACCAACTTCGCTCCAATGCGAAAGTGGTGAACGGCAACTCAATTTCGTAGTCAGCCTAGCGAGGGGCGAAGGGCGACCGTGGCTCACTTCCCGGCCCCTTATTGTGCCCTATCCAGACCGTTTTCCGACCTCATTCCTGCATCAATGGTATCAGAGGGAGCGTCGAATTCAAACCATGTGCAAATCTTCGAAACCATTTTTTCGTGAACAGTGCCTTTAATGTAAGTACCAGCAGGGTGAAGAGAACTGTGTTATGGACGACCAGTCAAGCAAACCAACAAATTATCCCCCCCCCCCCCCCCCCCCCCCNTCACCCCCCCCCCCCCTCTAGCCCGTTTCAATACATATAAGCAGCATGTATACTGTTGAATTTTGAAGAATGACGTGATGGATGTTTTAGTCTCGAAGAGATTCCTCATTTTTCTTTAAAACATATCATATCTTAAGGTATACCGACTTACCATGACTCCAGAATAGAACGAATACATGTTTATTGTTGTTGCGTAATTTGGTGAACTCATCGGAAGACGCAATTGAGACAAGCTTGTGTTCTGCAATAGCCAGCTCTTCTCCGCTCCTGCAAGGGGACAACAAATGCTTCTATTTCTTCAAATATTACAGCACAGGTACTGTTATGTATAATGTTTAAAAGGTTCTAGAGCAAAAGAATAGTCTATCGCGCTTAAAAAACGTGGTACCACCGAAATGCTCACTTCTCATTCGACTACACTATCTCTCTAAACAACCGTATGATGTTAGGCAGCTGATAGTGCACCCAGCTGTTCTGATGGGTGGCGAGCGGCGAGCGACAGAAGCTGAAAGGCTCAAAGCAGTTGAAAAGCACAGAACAGGCTTCGACTGCAGTATGACTGACAATGTGGGATATCAATCGATCTCGTCGCTGACGGACTGCGGTCGTCGGCGGTGTTCGGTATTTTATAGATTGAGAACCCATCCTGTGGTCACCCACTGTTTAAACATTCAGAATGCGTTAATCTCAGGATAGATTGTTGGCGACATGACACAGATCAATTCAGCAGTTTTAAATCTGAAACTAAACGCATCTGAAGGAAATCTTAACGTAAAATACTGATGAACCAATGCAAACCACGCAATCACTTCATGTACAAAAAAACTTTGCATTGCCTACTCTTCTCTTCTCCCTATCCTCTCTCTCTTTTGTTTTTTCTTTCTCTTATCGGGTATGCTCAAATTAGGCGCCAAAGACAAGGAGCGTGGGCGTCGAATCTGTGGGATATCGATCAACGTCAACGCCGACTTCGCCGTCTTTTACTCGTCGCCCCTGTGGCTTGTCCCACATGCTACCTGTCGCCTGTCAGCTCCTTTGTCGGTCGCAATTGGTCCGTCGGCCCAAATGACAAGCACAGACTGGGGGCACTATTGTTGAGGTAGGCTTCGAAACGCGATTGTGGTCATTACGATCATTGATTGGCGTTATTGATCAATATCATCACACTTTCGAGATGATCGCAGGTCAGTGTTTTCGATTACTGTTGTTACTACTACTTCGAGATAATTTCAGCGCTACGCAAGATTACATCAAAGATTCTCTAAAAGTGACCATTTACCTGGAAAAAACCACCTTGATCCTGAAAAAAAAGCAACCTTGCGCATCATGCAGACTACCTACAGCCCTCCTCCATTTTGCGGAGAACCAGAAATGCTAATATACTGAACGGATACGAGTGCACAATAAGTCCAGCAGGGAATTTGCGAGGGCTTTGCTCAGATAGGATTGCGAAATTTGGCGCGATTTTCAGAAACTCGACAGAAACTTACGATCAAAATCATTCATCAAAGTGTTCCTCACATATTACAAGCAATATGCTCTGCCAAAAGTGGTGGTATTGCATTTGTTAAAGGAATTTGGTTACAGCGACATAAGGCGAGCACCGTAGAGGAAGGAACAGATGGTAAAACATATATAGCTTCTCGTCTATAACACGCGATGCTATGTATGGCAATCTCGTCATGGGCTGTGAGGAAGACGAGTCCGTGGAAGAAGATCATTTTTATCCTCTCTGGTCTCCTGGTGAGAACGACGACGATGACGGATCCAGCACATGCCCGGAGGGAACCTCTTTCATTTTTGGAAGTGGAGAGGTTCAAATGAAAAGGTAACATTCAACTTCAGAATTGAGTACTAAAAAAGTCGCACACTTTGGTGTATTGAGAATGTTGAAGGGCATTGAACGAGACCGTAAACTTCCAAATTAGTCTCTTGTTGACCATTTATTATGTCTTACGTGATTGTAAATATCAGGCGCAAAAGGAACAGACCGATTTGTCGGGCTTCTGAGACTAGCCGATTTGTTGAAGGAAAGGTCATCGCAAAAATGAATGTGGGCGTTTTATTGCACGACAGCGATATCCACCGCATGGTGCTGAAAATTAAGAAGGAGGGCGCCATAGTGGAGAACTTCGAGGCGAGCCATAGGTGGATTCAGGGCTACAAGTTCAACTGAACCTCAGGGAAAAAGTTTTTCTGACGGAGACAGCATATCTCATGAGGCTCAAACATTTGTTTTGGAGGTGGAAAAATGTGAATTTTTTCATGTAATACAGGATTTTTATGTGTAGCCGCTGTTGTCAGCCTGACAACTCCATTAATGAGGTTGTAAATTGTCCAGAAGTGGGGAGTCGGCTCTGGAAACAATCTGTAGCACGGATCAAACGGTTTTAAGAAAGAATTGCATTCAACCAGGGCCTTAGCTGTGAAGGGTCAGAAGAAGGTACAAAGTGTGATACAGTCTGTTTTGGCGAAGTCTCATTCCTCCACTATCATGCCAAGCCTACTTGCCGATGGCCATTTGGCGAAAAAATGTTCCGTTGAAATGCAGGGTGGTGTTCTTGAAAAAAGGATGTAAGTAAACTCACATTTTAAAACCGCTCTAACAGGAATCTAGTGGACGTTTCTCTGCTGAAAGTCGTTTCCGCGCTTTGAGCTTGGGAATCAGGGCCAGTACAACCAACATGATGAGCAAAGAGCTTATGCAGGATTAGGTTGGATCGTGCGTTCGATCAACAAACGTGCCTTCAACTATACTGAGAGTTGGCTCAAAATGCTGGTTTAAGGACTGAAGCGATTCAGGGTGCTTTGCCAATTGGAAAGACAGTGAAAGTGTCTCAAATTCAGCCTCTCAATGTATATTTTTCCTTGCCACCTTCCTTTTTCCTATAGACGTATAGTCTTCTTCGTAATTGCTCATGACCTAGACTTCCACGTTAGTCGTTAGAAACTCCACAATTCGCTTCATCTCATTGGTATACTTCTTGTATAGCGAACTCAGATTCAGAAAGCTTCGTTTTCATCCATGGTTTGCAGCAGGTTATCTGGATTCAGACCCGGGAGAACTCGAAACTCCTGTACAGTATTGTATCTGATCCCATCTAGACCGGAACTTTGAGAGTGATGGGTGAGGTGAACTACTTTTTATAAGTTGCTCTTATTGTGAGAAGTTTTTCTGTTCCGAACACTTCTGTTGGATTGTGATATCTGTTAATGAAATGCTCACCTATTGTTCTGACACTATTTTTGCATAAAAATTACAGCTGACTTGTGACAGCTCACTTCTACCTAGAGGGAGGGCATTACTTCATCCAAAAGCGCTATGGTCTGGCAAGTCAGACAACAGCCTTCTTTCGAAGGTGCAGGTGAATCACCTGGTCAAATTGTCCAGCTCAGGAACGCGTAGAATGGGCGGCGCCATGCCAAAAGACCGCCTCGCGTGCGCTTTCAGTGTTCAACAACGTGCATTGTTTCACCGGCTTACCGGCAAGTCGACTGCGTTGCTGGCCACGTGTTGACAACGCTAGTTAAAATGGATACCGATCACGTGGCACTGGACGCAATCTGTTAACGCAACACTATCGGTCGGTCGGTCGAAACAATGCACGTCCTGGAACTCTGAAAGCACCCAGTGGGAAGATTTACCAAGTCTATCAAACTTTGGACTCCTAGCCTTAACCATAGGCCGGTTTTCACCGTGTTTTTGCAAAATAACAGCTGCTCAAAGACCTAACAGTAAGTTGCATCCTGTTACAATTTTGAAGGGTCATAGAACCTGTTCTGACTCTGAGCCTAAGCTGTGAGTTCTCATTACATATTAGGATTTCTTAAAGACTACTCATATTGAGGGTGAAAGTGCTTATTTGCTGAGTGAGTTAATCTGAGAAATATCATATGCCGTAGAGGTTCTATCGTCCTGCAACTGTCACTACGGATCCCTTTCTTTCTTATCAATTGTTATCTCCATTTTTCCGCTCACCTCAACTCCAGTAGATCAGTGTCAATGAGATCGATCTCAGTAGGACTGAACACTTCGACGTCGAGAGGTGCTGGCTTGCTGGCCGCTTTTAGTTCTGCCGGTGTCAGTGCCCGTACGAATCCAATTTCTCGCTCTGCTTCCGGTGTGGCATAGATCGTCAATGGACTCGGAGAATGTCGAGACAACGCGCTGAGCACTACTGTATGTTGACACATACATTCTATTTGGAAAAGAGAACTAACTTACTCCAACAATGCCATTTCGATAGCTCCTAAGTTCTTTCCGTTCAATTTGCGCTCCAAGGAATAGACTGCAGCACCACTCGAACTAAATGAGCGATACAGTCTGGATTTTGTGTGCCATTTTTCATCCTTGTTTTATCTCTTTTTGATTTTGACTTTTGTTCTCAAAAATTCATTTGATATTAATTCATTTAGTCGTGGCTTCCGGTAATACGGTGTCTTCTTAGCAAACTACCTGCCTGATTGACTCTTTTGTCTTCAAGAGCGCTCATACTACAACTGTTAGGGTGTCCGAAAAGTTCTGAGAAAATTGAGCAGGTTTTTCAACACAAAATAACTACAGCAACAAACTAGTGGCTCTCCCTGGCCACAATGTCTCTTCATCAACCGGATGGGGCATCGATGCCATTCCTCCAGAATGATGAGAGGCGTGCACAATTCGTTCATCTACCACTTACTTGACTCCTGGACAGTTGGTGAATTTTTCCCCTGTAGAGCAGACCTAAGCGCTTCTGAAAGTATGGCAGTTTTTATGGGTTGAGGTAAGGTGAATATGTAGGGAGCGGAGTAGTTAGGTTATTTCAAATCTTTCCAGCTCATCCATCAACGTCCTCGCGGGAATGGTCAAGCATTAATCATCACAATCGAAAATTCCCTTATAATCGGTGTGAAATGAGTACCATCTCTCTTGGTCGGTAACAGAGTACCTTCTGTTTAGTTCAGCACACTCTGGTAGGATCCCCCAATGAAACACCGGGTTGAGCAGAGAAAGATTGAGCTCATGTCTCTCATAGCATGAGCGCCTCGCTTCATCTCGGGCTGTTGCGTTACGTCGGCTGGTAGGCATTGCGATTTCTTCTGTGGATTTTCATACGAAATTAATTTCTTAACCTGAGCAATAATAAAGTCGGTTGATGTCGTCATTCGTTACATTCGAGGAGCATCTGACCCACACTAACTCGCCCTTGACACTCCTGCTCAGTCGAGGACTTGCGTATTTGCAGAGTCATGCTTTGAAAGTGACTGCTGCGCAGAATGTCGTGGATGCTGGATTGGGGAGTAGATGACGTCTCTTACATTTCCTGCCGCATTGAGGAGGATTGCTCTGACAGTAGGCGAGAACAGTGTCGGTATTTGACGACAGCGGACATTCGCGTCGACCAGCTTCGTCGAAGCAAATCTCTCTCAGAAGAAGCGATCGTACCATTTGTGACAGATAACAAGAGGGGGTTATTGCTGTCAATCGATCACCATAGCCCATTCCGATCCTGAGTATCGAAGCGATCAATTTCCAAATGGAAAAGCAAAGGGCTCTGGTAGATATCACATCCTTCGGTCTACGATTACTTACTTCGAACGGCCACGTCAAATAAATATCAGCTATAATAGCGTTCAGGAACAATGCCTCTTTTCGTGCTATTGAATCTGTAGTCCCTCTTTAGAGCATTCGCGAGCAACATGCTTTCAAAGTTGAGAAGCAAAATTTTCTCAAAACTTTCCGGACACCCTAACATCACTGACCTTGGTGCGCTGAGCTGATTTCTGACTCATTACTACCGCAGCCTTCTATCTTTCCTCTTTTCCTCTTTTCTCGAAAGGTAGTATTCCCTCAAAACTTTCCGGACACCCTAACATCACCGACCTTAGTGCTCTGAGCTGGTTTCTGACTCATTACTACAGCGGCCAGATTCCTTTTCATCTCTTGGTGCTTATTAATAAGGAGGGAAAGGATGGATGGGGTTCGAATGGCTGCCTACTGGAACTAAATAGGTCTGCGATACATTGAAAGGAGCTGGTAAATCGATTTGTAGGCCAAATTCAGGTGCCATAATAATTTCGAATTGATGTTGATTAGATTGATCATTTCAACACGGGATAAATTTACACCGGTAGTTCTTATCCCTCGAAAATCCTCTGTTTATATTCTCTTTGGGAAATCTACTTCTAGAAGGATTGACAGAGACGTGTTTTAGTATGACAAAGAAACCAGTGTTTAACGCGAATTTTTTTTCAACCTGCACCTTCAAATAAAAAAAAAACTCACGAGTCTTCGATAACCAAGTAGTGGTAGCTGGAATCGCGTTTAAAGTCCCCACATCGATAGTGCTCCGAGTCTTCAACGCATGAGATCTGCATGTAGTACGTCAAAAGAAACATCTTGGAATCAAACACCAAATAATTCTGGTGCGATCCTGAGCGGAGGGCCCCTTTTGAGCTCTCACGTCTGTCAACAATATAGAATTCTAAAATTTTGGCCTTCACTAAATGGAATACCTAGATACAGGTCGGAAGTGCAGCTGCACCACTGAAGCGCTAGCTTATCAATTCACGCAGAAGGGTGGAATGAAGACTTTCTCAGGCAACTTACTACTTCGTTGTCTACAGTTACTCTTGCCATCTTCCGTAATCGGTCACGAAGCTCTCCGAGTTTCGTCATAACCAATTCTGCATAATCTTTCTGTTGTCCTGAATCAGAAATCAAGCAATACCTTTCAAGAATCCTTTTGCACACTGTTCCGCAAAATTTGAAGATGACATGTTAGCTGAACTAATTATGAACCTATGTACCCATGACCAACATAGCTATACTGTAACTAAATCATAGTTTTATCAATAACATCACAACACAACTGACTATACTGTAGGGATTCTTGCTGTCACCTATACCCTTCAAATTTTACCTATCTCCAGGCTTTACTGTAATTGAAATAGGAATTCGAATTGTGATCACCCATACTGTAAGGCACGCTGCACACAATCTGGACACGTGGGGTTCTGAACACCTTCCAGGTACGCTCGACACATCTTAGACGACTTTTATTTCTTCCTCTCACAGTGTAGGGTTCTTAGGAGAGAAGTTATGAATTTAAAGAAAAGTGAATCAGCTTTTCACGGGTAAGATCATCTTCCTGCTCGCGGATATCCTGGTCAACCTTGCCTATTTTTTCAGCTGCAACAAGCAGCACTGAAGACGAAACACGAATTTTTCTGTTTCAGCACTCCACACTTTTAGAGCACACTCTGTCCACTGCAGATAAATATGGGACAGAACATTCACCCAATTCTGGATGGACGCGGCAAGTTGCGCGGTGTTTCGAGCGACTCTGGCGCCTGTTATTGGAGCATAAACTTAAGGTGAAGAAGATTATTAGGGTCAGCTGATACTATACTAATCTACTCTACTTCAAGTTTGTGCCCAGAGTTGTTCAAACCGTCGCGAATTTCTCCGCGCAACTTGCAGCGCCTCAAACCCGGGGCTCTTTATGGTGCCTGCACCACACGACCGCATAGATACTTATTCACAAGTTTTCATAGGGGGACAGAACATTGGGCCGTCCAGAGATGCGCTCGAGAAATGTGGCGGCGATCATATATAATACATGATTCCCCTTACATACATACATGATCGATCAAATCGATCTAACCAGTTATCCCATTACCGATACATCGATGCATTTTTTTTTTCTTGGATATTTTGCTTTCCATATGAGGTATTAAGAAGAATTTTCAATAGCTGCAAGCTTACTGTTTTCGCTTCGATGGATGAAGGTCGTTTGAATGAAGTAATCCTGAGGCGTGATTCCTGGAGCCGCATTCTCATCGTAGTCCCATCCCTAAAAAATGAAAATGGAGAGATAGGTTGCTGATTACAAGCAAATTCAAGTAGGTAGAAAGTTAGATTTTGGGTATGCACATTAGAGAAACAAGGATTCTATAACAAAAAAGTCAGTGAATAGCGGGCAGGTCTTCGGTGGTAAAATGGATAAGTGCACAGTGTTTAAAACGTCCAGCTTTGGGCTCGAGTCCAGCTCGAGTGAACGTTCTGGACATAATCCGGCACTCTGGTAACATTATTGGACTAGAATTAGAAAGATGAACTTACTCAAAGGCACCGTTCACGACAGAAACGATAAAAACAATTTTTGATGTCTTTCTAGGATCAGTGACCCTCAAGGATAGCATAGGGGACAGTGGGGGGGGGGGGGGGGGGGGGTCGGAAAATGGCTCAGATAAGACACATAAAGGCCCCGAAGCCGGCTTATCCGACGTAAACCCCCCGAAGGGGACGAATTTTCACGGCTTGTAAAGGCTGTGAAGACGGCATCGTTTGCAAGGAGACGCACTATGTTGTACGCAGGCATCTTACTGTAGCCAGCTGTAAGCAATGGCTCAGGCATTTCTGTAGCTCGTCCGGACACCCCTTCCGTCCAACTTTTGTCGTCACATTCTCGTCCAATCCTGATTTTACTACTTCTCTGAGGCCGTATATTTCTATAAATACGCTGGTTTTCGCGTTTCTTCCGCCACTTTGTAGTGTTCGGGATAACCACTTCCATTTCTCGCCTTGGACCAGTTACTCCAAGATTATCGTGAACTGTGCCTTTAGCAAAAGGGTTTTTTATGGTCACATCTACTGAACAATCACGACAGGTCTCCACTGTTAGCCACTCAAGAAAATTTCAGCAAGATATCAAAAATCTTTATTGAGGACATGATGATAACTGGAAAGTCCCTTGAAAGCCGCAGTTGAAAAAAAGCCTTTTTCTATATCTTTACTCGTATTTTAACCTGCAACGACTCACTTACTTTGACCTTAATTAGGAATGAATGGAGCTGTCCTCATTCCCTCTTAAATGCCATGCCAGCCATTTTTTTTNTTTTTTTTATACAAGACCACACGGGCCTTGGAATTGCTTCAAGAAGTAATAATTGAACATGAGCTAACGTTTTATAATAGCTCCTCACTCTTAGGCATGTGCTCTATGACGGATAGCTATAGCCAGAATCAAATGATTGGTTTCTCAAGTGAATGGTTTCAACTTATGTGGGTGTTTACTAACTCTATTACTATTGTTCCCTAGGAATTTCCCTCCGCATCTATCAATTATTTTATGAAACAGTCGAATCGCCTGGCGTATATTCCCGGCTCATTCCTCTTTAAAGCAAAGACAGAATAGTTTGTTATCGGAGTAGCGGATCTACTAGCTTTTCCTTTCTAGCGCTTCTTATCAGACCTTATCAATAGTTATCACTTCGTCGTCCAGCCAAATGATTGTTTGCTCTGATGCTCCGTTATTAGCTGAATTGATATTCAAAGCCGGACTGAAAGGAATGCTGTGATTGACTCAATCAGACTCGGACGTCAAGGATTGCTTCCACTGATTTGTCAAGCCACCCTGAATGCTTTCAAAAACCCAATAGGCATCTGGCGCGCCTGTTCGACGCTTATCAGCGATACAAGAGAATATCATATAATGTCCCCAACTTTCTTGAAAGGTCTTTGGAAGTCCCATCACGTCACTTTTGAAAAGCATTCAAGCGTACGCCTTTGGAGCCTTCCGCGCCATTCTAACAAAGCATGAAAACACTTCCCAACATGTTCCGCGTTCTGATGGTTAGTGGGCTTTGTTGAGAGCTCGTTGGAGGCCCGTTTCCCATTTTCCATGTTTTTTGTTCATTTCATGCAGTTCTGGACCTAGCCTCCATCATAGGCGCCGATCATGCCGACGTCGACTGCAAACCACCTACCTTTTTTCTATCCACAATTTTCCAATTCCACCTATGATAGTAATCGATTGTTGAGAGCTCTTTGGAGGTTTTGTTACTTGCTTTCTTGTATTTAGAAGATATCCTTTTTTCGCCTACCGGAAATGTTTGTCGCAACTCCTCTTCTAAGAGGTTCAGGGATACTGATATCTATCTTCGACTGGAATTTGAGCGATAAATGGGGAATACAGAAACCATAAAATTAAGAAAATTCCCCAAGGAGCGATCACATACATGTGATGACACAGAACTTCAATTTCGCCTATAAAAGATGAAGTAGCATTCAAGTTCCTTGATATGACCATCTCTACAATCCTACTGACTGCTTCGTGTTTCACTGGAAGGGCTCAGGATATTAGAAGGGAAGAATCCCACTGTTAACATTCAACAGAGAAAGCCTTGTTCAGAATTAGTGGTTCAGACGAAAAGCTTGTTTTGCGCTGCTACAATTTGGTAGCCTTTGAAAAGACATCATTGACTTTTGGCCCTTGTAGACAAGGTCGAGTCTTTTCCAAAAACTGGTTTGTTCTTTTCCCGTTTTTGCTGCGTTTCTTCATAGTGGTCATACAGAACCTGCGGCTCGAGCTTTTCTTTGTAGCGCGCCTTTTGAGCTCATTCGATAAAATAGAATAGAATAAAATAAAAATATCTTGCAATTTGCGGAACCCGTCTTCACATAGCTTCGAACCAATATTTTTTGTTATTTGTTTTCGTATGCTGAATTTATCACTCAATTCAGCTAACATATCTATACGCCATTTCATCTTCATCAATGAAGATCCCATATTTCTGACCTCTCCCCAGAGTGCATGTATTTCTTTTATAAAACTCCTTTTACAAATTGTGTCGTATTGTTCAAAAATTCATATATCTATCAATCAACAAATTGTACACTTAACACTTTATGTGGGAGGGCTGATAGGATGGAACTTTGAACAGACGTACCTTGTCGCCTTCGGGTAAAGAACTGGGCGCCGCCGGTCCTTCGACTTTTTCCTTTTTTGGCATACCCATCATATGAGGACAGTGACATCTGAAAGGGAAACTGTAATTTTTGTGTTCATTGAATCAGGGTAGCAAAGGGACCGCAGTTCCGGAACGGTCGACTTTACGCTAACTATTTCGATGGTGGTTTTTCCTGCTTCAAAATACGCCTCGGAAACGTGAACTACGAAAGCAGGATGGGCATGCACTTAGCGTCATTTAACGCGCAGTGGAATTGAAGTTGGCAGGATACGTTATGCGATATCGTGGAGACCGTTGGATCAGAGCGGTTAAAGGATAAAGTCTTTTGGCGTTAATCAATCCCGTCTGAGGGATGCGCCCCAGCACTCGACTTCCATTCAGAATCGTAGTGGCGTAATGAGTGCGTATGTGGCCTACACAATGACTTGCGGTGGCCAGCCGATGTACAAGTCAGCGCTTTTATCCTCCCAAACGAGTTTGGTATCAATTCACCGACCCCGGAGGGATGGAAGGCTTGGTTG